CAAGCTATAGCAGAGAGACCTGAGTAGCTGGCCAAGATCTCCAGGTGATGCCGACATACCGGCAGGACTGAGAAGGAGCACAGCAAAGTCACAGCCTCGGAACCCGTGCGTGCAGGTCAGCTGCAGCCAGCACACAAATATTTTTACAATGATGAATAGCTGTTCACTATAACGCAGATAACAGGGGAAAATGATCCATTGAAACCAATCTACCAAGTTCATACCCATGAGTCAAAAGCCCCTGAATCCCATTAAAGGGTATTTTAGTGACTATTGATTCTATTCTGCGGTCTGTGTTCCCCACTTTGTTAACGGTGTGGGCAGCAATTAAGAAAAACTCTGTGATTGGGGCAGCTTTCTTTCTCCTTGGACTTGCTCATCATGGTCACTGCTAACCATCCCTGCCCCAGGCAGACGGCCACAGAAGGATATCAGCAAGCCTCAGGCAATGGCTGAGCTGCACTGCAAAGTAATCCTGACGTATTTTCAAAGTCACTAGAACACCAAACTGAGTCACATTACATCTCCATAGAAAGATAAATCCAGAACTACAGAAGCTGGTCCCAGCCCAGGAAGAAATGCTACCTGGATGATGCAGGCTATCCAACTTGGCCAGGGATCATTTTCAAGCAGACTTCTAGAGACAGAGCACCATGAAATAGCCTTAAATACCTGATAACCCACAGTTGTTCAAACAGAGGTGCAGAATGGAAAACAGAGGGTTCCCAACCCCAGCTACATGTCATTTTTTTAAACTCTTACACCCAAGTCACAGCCCAGATCTATTAGCTCAGGATATGAGAGAGGAGCTAAGTAAATGACCCTGGGGGATGGGTGTATATGAATGCTTTCAATGCGCATGAAGGCTGGAGGTCAATACCAGGCAACTTGCTCAGTCACCCCCTGATTTTCTGAGACATTCTCTCGCTCCACATGGCCCTCACCAATTCAGCAAGGCTAGCTGGTCGACCACCTCCAGGAATCCACTTGTCCCCTCTCCTCAGTGCTGGGGTCACAGACATGCACCTCCATACCCTGCTCTCTGTGTGGCCCTCATGATTGTGTGTCATGAACTTTACTGACTGAGCCGTCTCCCCAGTTCCCTGGGTGGCACTTTTTAAGCAGTAGTTTTCAAACACGATCATGTAGCTGAATCCCTCATGACGAGACCAGGCTGTGACACTCTAGACACTGCAGGTCTGATGTGAGGCTGGAGGATATATGTATTGAAAAGTTCTCAGGTGATGCAGATGCTGCTGGCCCAGGGTTTTAAAGGTTACCCAGGCAACTCTCATTACAGCATCCAAGGCTGAGGACCAGCATATAAAACAGCAGGTAAGCTCAGAGTATGACCTCATGCTGTGGGATGGTCTGTATGTCAAATGTGTTGCTGATTGGTCAATAAATAAATCACTGATTGGTCAGTGGTCAGGCAGGAAGTATAGGCGGGACAAGGAGGAGAATAGAGCTGGGAAGTGGAAGGCTGAGGCAGAGACACTGCCAACCGCCATGATGACAAGCCGCAAGTGAAGATGCCGGTAAGCCACAAGCCATGTGACAAGGTATAGATTAATGGAAATGGATTAATTTAAGCTGTAAGAACAGTTAGCAAGAAGCCTGCCACGGCCATACAGTTTGTAAGAAATATAAGTCTCTGTGTTTACTTGGTCGGGTTTGAGCGGCTGTGGGACTGGCAGGTGAGAGAGATTTGCCCAGACTGTGGGCCAGGCAGGAAAACTCTAGCAACAAAAATCAGTGATTTATTCATTGACCAATCAGCAACACATTTGACATACAGACCATCCCACAGCACTTCCCCTTTTCTTTTCTTAAAAAGGAAGGTTTTAACCTTTACACATCTCCAAAGTCAGCTTGGTATATTTGGGAATTTGGGCGTAGCTTCTCTTACTACTTCCTGCTGGAGGGGGGCGCTGTATCTTATGGGGACACAAAGAATATTTTAGGATTATGGAATAGTCCATGGGAGTGTATTGTCTGAGCCAGTTGCCTGAAACCATTCTGGATGTTGGATCATCTGGGCCATGGTGTCATCAGAGACCTTTCAGGGGGTCTTGGCTGGTCAAACCTGATGTATCTTAATCTGGAACAAATCCATAGTCTCTTGCTTTCTGTGGAAACAAAAGCAGAGCCTCCTTTCCAAAGCAACATATCCTTACATCCAAATTTTGAAGTCAAGGTACCTTTAAAATATACATTTTGGCATAACTCAACAGCTTTTGCAATCAAATGTTTTTCTTCAGTTACGAATATCAAAGAGAACATAATGCAGATTCTCTGTGTGGTAGCCATCTTTACGTGGCTTATTTTTTTTTTATATTAGCTTGAGCCTATTGCTTTAAACTGCAGCCTTCTAAGCCTGAAACGGCGCTGGTGCTGTGGCTGCTGGCTCCGCCCACTTCAGCTTCCCAACATGGCGGTGATACGTTTTCCGCCAGCTCTGGGAGCCATCAACTCTCAGAAATAGTGGGTCTATGCATCTATCAAAGCAGCGTGTATCCCAGAAAGCTCAGAGTATGGCCTCATGCTGTGGGATGGTCTGTATATCAAATGTGTTGCTGATTGGTCAATAAATAAATCACTGATTGGCCTGTGGCCAGGCAGGAAGTATAGGCGGGACAAGGAGGAGAATAGAGCTGGGAAGTGGAAGGCTGAGTCAGGGAGACACTGCCAGCCGCTATCAGGTCAAGGAAGATGTAAAGTACCGGTAAGTCACAAGCCACGTGGCAAGGTATAGATTAATAGAAATGGATTAATTTAAGCTGTAAAAACAGTTAGCAAGAAGCCTGCCACGGCCATACAGTTTAAAACCAATATAAGTCTCTGTTTTACTTGGTCGGGTCTGAGTGGTTGTGGGACTGGCGGGTGGTAGAGATTTATCCTGACTGTGGGCCAGGCAGGAAAACTTTAGCTACAAATGGCGTCCAACGTGGTGGCAAGAGTTTCCACCTAAAACCTGAGAAAAAAGATTCTAAAACGGAGCTAAAAACAGTTCCTAATTGTCTCTCTCAAATGAGCGGCAGCTGCCGGTTTGAACTACTGGCGGGTTCCTAGCGTGCGCGCTCGACCTGATGCCATATGGCGGGAATGAGGCCTCTAAAAGTGACACATTAAGCTGTGTGGTGGATTTAGCCTTTGCTAGTACCAAAAAAAAAAAAAAAAAAAAAAAAAAAAAGAGGTTTCTGGGCTACACGCTGCTTTGATAGAAGCATAGACCCACTATTTCTGAGAGTTGATGGCTCCCAGAGCTGGCGGAAAACGTATCACCGCCATGTTGGGAAGCTGAAGTGGGCGGAGCCAGCAGCCACAGCACCAGCGCCGTTTCAGGCTTAGAAGGCTGCAGTTTAAAGCAATAGGCTCAAGCTAATATAAAAAAAAAATAAGCCACGTAAAGATGGCTACCACACAGAGAATCTGCATTATGTTCTCTTTGATATTCGTAACTGAAGAAAAACATTTGATTGCAAAAGCTGTTGAGTTATGCCAAAATGTATATTTTAAAGGTACCTTGACTTCAAAATTTGGATGTAAGGATATGTTGCTTTGGAAAGGAGGCTCTGCTTTTGTTTCCACAGAAAGCAAGAGACTATGGATTTGTTCCAGATTAAGATACATCAGGTTTGACCAGCCAAGACCCCCTGAAAGGTCTCTGATGACACCATGGCCCAGATGATCCAACATCCAGAATGGTTTCAGGCAACTGGCTCAGACAATACACTCCCATGGACTATTCCATAATCCTAAAATATTCTTTGTGTCCCCATAAGATACAGCGCCCCCCTCCAGCAGGAAGTAGTAAGAGAAGCTACGCCCAAATTCCCAAATATACCAAGCTGACTTTGGAGATGTGTAAAGGTTAAAACCTTCCTTTTTAAGAAAAGAAAAGGGGAAGTGCTGTGGGATGGTCTGTATGTCAAATGTGTTGCTGATTGGTCAATAAATAAATCACTGATTGGCCCGTGGCCAAGCAGGAAGTATAGGCGGGACAAGGAGGAGAATAGAGCTGGGAAGTGGAAGGCTGAGTCAGGGAGACACTGCCCGCCGCCATCAGGTCAAGGAAGATGTAAAGTACCGGTAAGTCACAAGCCACGTGGCAAGGTATAGATTAATAGAAATGGATTAATTTAAGCTGTAAAAACAGTTAGCAAGAAGCCTGCCACGGCCATACAGTTTAAAACCAATATAAGTCTCTGTGTTTACTTGGTCCGGTCTGAGCGGTTGTGGGACTGGCGGGTGGTAGAGATTTATCCTGACTGTGGGCCAGGCAGGAAAACTCTAGCTACAGCCTCATCAGGGAAAGTTGTATCCCAGCTGTGCTATAGCCAACCTGGTGTTTGATAATAAGGTGTTCTGGTCTCTGCTTGCTCCTGATGCTTACGACTAAGGCTCTGAAGCCAGGCATGAGCGTGCACCTTTAATCCCAGCACTTGAGAGGCAGAGGCAGGTGGATCTTTGTGAGTTCGAGGCCAGCCTGGTCTACAGAGGGAATTCCAGGATAGTCAGGGCTACATAGAGAAACCCTATCTTGGAAAAACAAAACAGATAAACAAAATAGAACTATGGTTCTATTCCAGTAAGATCCTGGGTCCCTTGTTGAAATAAAACTTTTCAAAGGGCAGTTACACATGAAATGTCAACAGTAACATACACAGAAAGAAAGTGGCTTTGGGGACCATAGAGCAGCTTGCAAAATACCCTCCTATGCCAATAACAATTTCTATTAACAATAGGTGATCAAGACTGCTGTGGTCCTAGAAGATCCTATCAGCTGGTGACACTGTAGTCATCTTCATCTAAAGGAAATCACTCTATGATGTTCAGACAGTAAGGAAATCGACTCCTACAATCCTCAGAATTAGATCCCTGCCATCACATGACATGTGACCGTATGAAGAAAGCAAGTTCTCCTTTTAGTGCACGTGAGCCCACAGAGTGTCAGCTGCACGTACTCTAGTCCAGCCCCTCTGCTGCTAGTGACTCACCTGTCACTACTCTGCAGTGCGGCCTGGGTTCCTGGACCTCGGTGGACCGGCTGGGGGCGGAGGACCATTTGCGTCTGATCCGATGCTCTCTTCCGCTGAATGGGCCTCCTGAGTTGTTGAGGGGCTGGATGAACACCTGCTCCTGCTCGAGCTGGATGAGGCCAACCTACCCAGAAAGGAGAGAACAAGACATCGGTCACCCTCATCCCCTCACGCTCACGGCCCCAGCCGGAAGATGGCTGCTTTGGTTTGCCATGTCTGGGTTTGTGCTCTCTTTCCGCTGGCTGCCGGGCCCCACAGTGAGACACCACCTGACTTACAAATCTCCCACTGAGTGATTGTATTGGGAGGTTTGGATGGGTGGGTGTCTTAGTTAAGATTCCTACGGCTGTGATCAAACACCATGACCAAAAACAACGTGTGGAGGAAAGGGTTTATTTTCCCTTGCAGACCATAGCATTGTCAAGAGCAGGAACTGATGGGAAGACTGTGATGGAGGGCTGCTGCTTACTAGTTTGCTCAGCCTGCTTTCTTATAGAGCCCAGGACCACCAGCCCAGGGGTGGCACGGCCCACAATGGGCTGGGCCCTCCCACATCGGTCAGTAATTAAGAAAATGTCCTACAGGCTTGCCTCCAGGTCAATCTGAAGAAGTCATTTTCTCAATTGAGAGTCCCCCTTCCCAAATGACTCTAGTCTGTGTCAACTCGACTTGAAACCAGCACAGTGGGGTTAAAACTGCTGTGAGATGCAGATATGTGCCCTTGTATTTATTTTCCAAGTCTGATTTAGAGAGGATGGACTAGTCTGCTGTGGGATGTTCTGTATGGCAAATGTGTTGCTAATTAGTCAATAAATAAAACACTGATTGGCCATTGGCTAGGCAGGAAGTGTAGGTGGGATAGGGAGGAGAATAAAGCTGGGAAGTGGTAGGCTGAGTCAGAGAGACACTGCCAGCCGCCACGATGACAAACAGCATGTGAAGATTCTGGTAAGCCACGAGCCATGTGGCAAGGTACAGACTTATAGAAATGGATTAATTTAAGCTGTAAGAACAGTTAGCAAGAAGCCTGCCACGGCCATACAGTTTGTAACCAATATAAGTCTCTGTGTTTACTTGGTCGGGTCTGAGCGGCTGTGGGACTGGCAGGTGAGAGAGATTTGCCCTGACCCTGAGCCAGGCAGGAAAACTCAAGCTACAAATGGCGTCCAACGTGGTGGCAAGAGTTTCCACCTAAAAACTGAGAAAAAAGATTCTAAAACAGAGCTAAAAACAGTTCCTAATTGTCTCTCTCAAATGAGCGGCAGCTGCCGGTTTGAGCTACTGGTGGGTTTCTTGCGTGCGTGCTCGACCTGCCCTATGGCGGGAATGAGGCCTCTGCAAGTGGTACATTAAGCTGCATGGCGGATTTAGCCTTTGCTAGTACAAAACAAAAAAAGAGGTTTCTGGGCTACACGCTGTTTGGATAAAAGCATAGACCCACGATAGATCCCAGAGCTGGTGATAAACGTAGCCATGTTGGGAAGCTGAGGTGGGCAGAGCCAGCAGCCATAGCTGCTGCAGTTTAAAGCAATAGATTCACAATAAGACAGATTCAGATGTAATAGTTTACAATGTGTGTAAAATATACATAGGCTTGAAAGAGACAAAAAAGGTGATATATACAGTTATAGAAACAAATACATAGTTTTAAAAAGTAAAGTCTTTAAAGAGACAGTAAAATTAATATAGAAAATAAGCCACGTAAAGATGAATATTACACAGAGAATCTGGATTGTGTTGTCTTTGGGATTCTTAACTGCAGAGAGATATTTGATTGTAAAGGAAGCTGAGTTAAACCAATATGTATACTTTAAAGATACCTTGACTTCAAAATTTGGATATAAGGATATGTTGCTTTGGAAAAGAGTCTCTGCTTTTGTTTCCACAGAAAGCCAGAGGCTATGGATTTGTTCAAGATTAAGATACATCAGGTTTGACCAGCCAAGACCCCCTGAAAGGTCTCCGATGACACCATGGCCCAGATGATCCAACATCCAGAATGGTTTCAAGGCAACTGGCTCAGATGATACAGCCTCACAGACTACTCCATAATCCTAAAATTATCTTTGTGTCCGCATAAGATACAGCGCCCCCCTCCAGCAGGAAGTAGTAAGAGAAGCTACGCCCAAATTCCCAAGTTATATGTAATTTTACTTTGTTAAGGTTAAAACCTTCCTTTTTGAAAAAAAAATGGGGGAAGTGCTGTGGGATGTTCTGTATGGCAAATGTGTTGCTAATTAGTCAATAAATAAAACACTGATTGGCCATTGGCTAGGCAGGAAGTGTAGGCGGGATAGGGAGGAGAATAAAGCTGGGAAGTGGAAGGCTGAGTCAGAGACACTGCCAGCCGCCACGATGAGAAACAGCATGTGAAGATGCCGGTAAGCCACGAGCCATGTGGCAAGGTACAGACTTATAGAAATGGATTAATTTAAGCTGTAAGAACAGTTAGCAAGAAGCCTGCCACGGCCATACAGTTTGTAAGCAATGTAAGTCTCTGTGTTTACTTGGTCGGGTCTGAGCGGCTGTGGGACTGGCAGGTGAGAGAGATTTGCCCTGACCCTGAGCCAGGCAGGAAAACTCAAGCTACACTAGTCTACTATCATTTGCTTTTATGTAGTTTGTGTGTGTGTGTGTGAATGCATGAGTGTGTGCAGACATAAAAGTGCACCATAGTGTGCATGAGGGGGTCAGGGGACAACTTTGGGGGGTCAATTCTTTCCTTCTACTATGTTGGTCTCAGGGATCAACTATTAGACTCGGTGGTGAACATCCTTACCCACTAAGCCATCTGGCCTGCCCTACGTCATTTAATCTCCCCCCCCCCTCTCTCTCTCGCTCTCTCTCTCTCTCTCACACACACACACACACACACACACACACACACACACACGGGGCGGGTGGGGGAGGGAGAGATGCTGTGGGTTGAACCAAAGTCTTGCCATGGACTATGGCATGCCAGACAAGTGCTCTACAACCAGCCTCTGTTTGAAGCCCTAAATCCGCCCTCCTACAAGTCCTTCTGAGGAGAGATGGCTCGCCTCTCCTCTCGGTAGGGGTTATGAGCACGTGTTGCTCCTGCAGAGGACTGGGTTCATTGCCCAGCACCCGCACAGTGGCTCACGACTGTCTCTAACTCCAGCTCTAGGGGCTCTAACTCCTTTTTCTGGCCTCCTTGGGCACTGCACACATGTGGTACATAGACACACATGCAAGCAAAACAGCCATACATAGTAAATAAATCCCAATAAAGTCTATTTGAGCTAGGTGTGGCGGTACACATAATTCCAGCTCACGAGAGTGAGGCAGGGGGATCGAGAGTTTGAGGCTAGCCCAGGGTGAGAACCCATCTCTAAAGTGCAAAGGGGGATAGTGTGGTGATCAACTGTGGAGGCAGCCTTCCAACTGTGGGGTCGGAACATTATATTCCTAATAGGAAAATGTAGCTTGTCTTTCCTTGAGGGTATTTAGAACTAGACACCAAGGCAAAAAAGAACCAGTTCCGTGTGTGGTATTAATGCCGAGGGGGTGGAGACTTGCAAATTTCTACCCTAAACTTGCAGCATTTAAGAGAAGCTGAGAGAGTATCTGATGGATTTGATTTTTTTATTCTGGTGACGAATGTTCATCTTAGGAGCAGTACCGGATATGCAGAGAGAGCTCAGGCCTTCCTGTATCTGTAAGAGCAGGCTCAGGCTAAGAAGAATGGCTTATGGAATCTCAGACTCCCGTGAAAGGCTTGAGTTCAGATAGCTAAAAGAACTTGAAAGTGAAATTGAACGTGCTAAATTTCTAAGACAGTGCTAAATATTTAATGGTGAAAAAAAACACATTTGTAAATGAGCCTAAATCCTCTTAAAAGTGAGTGCAAATACTTGTTATCTAATACGATTTATAAATCAAATGAAAAACTTAAAAAGTAGGACTTTCTAATTGTCACTTTTTTCTCTCTCCTTTTGAGACAGGCTATGTAGTCCTGGCTGGCCTAGAACTCACAGAAACCACCTACCTTAGTCTCCGGGGTGCTGGGATTAAAATGTGCACTGCAGGGCCCAGCTTAGTTTGTTATTTTAATAGAGTAGATGTTAATTGGGGATGGGGCTATGCAGAGGGCTTTCTCTGGATGTAATCCTGACTGCACTGAAACGGCCTGCCCTCCCTGCCTGGGGTATCTGCTGTGCGCCCCTCCTCCCTGCCTGGGGTACCTGCTGTGTGTGCGCCCCTCCTCCCTGCCTGGGGTACCTGCTGTGTGTGCGCCCCTCCTCCCTGCCTGGGGTACCTGCTGTGCGCCCCTCCTCCCTGCCTGGGGTACCTGCTGTGTGCCCCTCCTCCCTGCCTGGGGTACCTGCTGTGTGTGCGCCCCTCCTCCCTGCCTGGGGTACCTGCTGTGTGTGCGCCCCTCTTCCCTGCCTGGGGTACCTGCTGTGTGTGTGCCCCTCCTCCCTGCCTGGGGTACCTGCTGTGTGTGTGCCCCTCCTCGCTGCCTGGGGTACCTGCTGTGTGTGTGCCCCTCCTCCCTGCCTGGGGTACCTGCTGTGCGCCCCTCCTCCCTGCCTGGGGTACCTGCTGTGTGCACACCCCTCCTCCCTGCCTGGGGTACCTGCTGTGTGTGCGCCCCTCCTCCCTGCCTGGGGTACCTGCTGCATGTGCGCCCCTCCTCCCTGCCTGGGGTACCTGCTGTGCACCCCTCCTCCCTGCCTGGGGTACCTGCTGTATGTGCGCCCCTCCTCCCTGCCTGGGGTACCTGCTGTTCGCCCCTCCTTATACACAGTCAGGAAACAAGACAAACCTCTCACAAGGAGCTGAGGCTGCCAAAGTTGAAAGGACCCACTCTAAACACTGACCCGTGCAGCATCCCCTCTCCTGAGCCACACAGCTCAGGCAGGACTGCCTTGGCCAGCAGATTCCGATGAGGCAGACCCACTTTAGAGACACACACACACACACACATATACACACAGACACACAATATACACATAGACACACACACACACATATACACACAGACACACACATACACACACACACACACACACACACACATATATGTAAATATATATATGTTCATTTATCCTCCCTCCTTCCATACATAAAGCCATGACAGGGATGAGGGGATGCTTCAGT